ATCCAGTGACCTCATCGGGACTTGAATCCGCGACCTTCCGGCTTGTAACACAGCCCCTCAACCAACTACGCTACAGCATAATATTGTATAATAAGATTCATAATATAGAAGAGTGCAACATGATGTTACAATAAAACGAATAAATGTTTATTACTGCAGGACTAAATAACTCCAAGATACGAACTGACATTTTACAAATCAGGACGGATTGTCTCTAGTTCATTTGTTTCGGACTTTGTTATATCAACAATATATGGGCGTTCAAATCCTATCTGGAGGAGCTAAGATGATATAAATTCGAAAATTATCACAGTCTTCTTGTTAACGTCCTTTAACATAATTATGTAAAATTTGCCATTATTCTCCATGTTCTCAGAGTTTTCTCTTACACTCTTACCATTCATGGTCAGTGTTTGAACACTGCTACAGCTGTGACTCATCCTCTTCACGGCTACCAGTATTGTAGAGTTTAGAGAATTTCTTATCGAACGGAAATTCGAGGTCCTTTCCCAAGGAGAGGATGCGTCTGCAGCTTGAAGCTGACTCCAACTTTATCTGTGTCGATATCTGAGAAGCTGAATAGTTGAATTCTGTACTTTCTCCTTAGATAAGGTAAAAATAAAATTTTACCGCGCCACGAAGTTTCGACACATTATTAATTTCGGCACCAGAAGGAGCTTCGTGATTAGCCTCACGCTTCGACAGCTTTATTCCACAACACAAGGCTTCCATTTCTCATTCATGAGATGACAGATTTGAAAATCGGCAAGGAAACCTGACTGGAATACTTCTTTTGGTTTATTTTGGACTTCACCCATCGTCTGGTATGTGAAAGAAAAAAAAAACCGACGTTTCGGAGACTGTATCTATCTCCGTCTTCAGGTGGATAGGGAAGGATAAACCTACTCAGTTGGGCCCCTTAGAAAGAGCTAGTCTCAATCACTGGACAAACCCCTGTAGTGTATACACCATCGTCAGAATCCTTTCAAGTCTATCTGACTGGAATGTTTCATGGTTTTCCTCAGTTCCCTCAGGCAAGAACCTGTGTAGCACCGTCAGTTCAGCCATTTCTGTTGCACACCCTTGCCAGTTCGTTATCCGCTATCATTAACCATTCGATGCCAGGCCTGGACGCTTTTGGTAAACAAACTGCAGTGGAACAGAAAGTAATATTCCAGAGGAAAGTTCCCATTGCGCACATTAGTGACTTCTCCGGATCTGGTAGCGAGCAGAAGAACAAAATACTCACCTCTGCTTGAAGTAGACTTTCCGTTACACTGCCTGTAATTGATAACTTTACTGCTTGAGTGAGCTGTGACCATTTGTAAATTTAAGCATCTAAAAGCATCCGAAAATAGTTCGAAAAAGTTGTGTCTTTTTCTTCTTATATTATACAAGTCGGTGGAAGCTGTTGCACTTGAGTAAGTCGTTCCCATTCACAGGAGGGGAGGCATAGAAATGTCATTTAACGTACCACCACACAATTGCTGCCAGCGGGAGGGGGCGATTGAGTGTAAAACTCTAAATTTTAAGAAATATGGGCGGACATTTCATCGAACATACACGAAAAACCTTTTAAAGTAGGTGGATCTTTATTCTTCATTATAACCGTGCAGGTATTAGAAATGTTTTCATTTGAATTTCAGTGGTAGCAGCGGTGAATTTATCGAGCACACATCTTCTTGTTATTGTTACAGCCATGCGGTTTCTATGGCAGTAAGGATTGGGAGGAGTAACTATTTAGTAGAAGTCGTGCAACAAAGTGGCACAGTGCGGTCGTGAAATTTGTAACACTGCTTATTGTGATAACGTTAAAAGTATTATTCTGTTCATGTAAGGAGCAAAGTGGATACCCCGAGACACGATGTTTCAAATACAACAGTTTGCATTGTTGCCACAAAGCACATGTCAACAATAGAAGGCCTAGCGACACAAGTACAAAGGTGTACATATTTCTGACTACATCTTTGTGGAATCTAGAGGTGACTTTAGAACCTAGAATCGGCATCGCGTAAAGTTTCAGTAATTCCTTTCCACCATATTTTAATAAAGATTCTGGAAACTAAATTACTTCAGAGACCTGGAGGTAGATGGGAGGATAATGTTAAAATAAATTTTAGAAGAGCTATAAGATGAGGCCATATTGACTAAATTGATCTGTCTCAGGATAGGGACGGGTGGAGGGCTCTTGTGAACACGGCAATGAACCTTCGGTTTCTATAGATTTACAACAGTCTTAAATAAGTAATGGCTTCGCAAACAAGTACGCTTCCACGGCAACGACAGAATACAGCAGTAACGAAAAAGACATTTTCTACGCGGTCCCTGTCGAGACATAACCACGACCACTTAGCAGTTGCAGATAGAGAACTGCTGGAGTTTAGTCGTTGTGAGTTGTTGCTATTAGAAAATGGTAACTGTGGCCGGAGATAGTTCGGGAACCCAGAGGAAGATGAGAGTCTACCATTGGAAACCGCTACCAAGGAACGGCAGTGAATACGTGACTGTGGACACTAGTGTGTATAATGATGAACTGTAAAATGTAGTCATGCGCGGTATCAAAGTGTGCAATAAATCGAGTCATTAATCCAAAACCGGTCTATAGACACTATCACGTGACAGTATTATCAGTGCTCGCCTGTTATAGGCCACTCTCTGTTGGCAAGCATTTAATAAAGGTATTGAATGGATTTACTGTAGCTTTACATCAGCCTAGCCAGAACGAAAGTTCAATATGCTTCAGCTGTCTGATATTCTCTTACCAACACTGACTCCAGCAAACTAGAATATGTGTGGCGGACATTTTGTAGAATCTTTAAAATTCATAACTCATATTTTCGAAGCCTTAAATTGAAAAAAAATCTTACTGAGATGGCGTTATTTTGGGACATTTTTATAAGGAACATTTACAGAGGTTATGTTATCCACCCTTCGCTTTTAGAAGCTACTGTTAACAGATTTTTAGTCAGAAACGCCAGACACGATAATGCCTTGTATACTTCCTTCTCACATAAGGGATGCTCTTCTGTCCCCTGTGCTTTAGCCGCAAGAGTAATATGTAACAATTTCAGCATGTTTGACATTATTTCTTTTAATATAAGTCTTCTTAAACTGGTTAACAGCTAGTAACATTCAGTGTTGTTATTATTACAGAGATATGTTTGACCTTCATCTGCCATGCTGTGGAATGTCTGACATGTATGTGTTTGTCCCACATCTCTGTACTGTTTGCTTCAATTTGTATTTGTTTCATTATGCTACTTCTGTAATTGGCATCTGTAACTCTTGAGTTTACATGTAGCAATAAAGAAATAAATTGAATTATTATTTTTACTGTTGTTATTAACAACAATAGCAACAACGAGTATAATGCAAAGTGGTGAGAAGAATAGGTGAACGTAACAGAGGATACAATAGAGACAGGGCAATTGAATCAGGATGGGTTGAACGGGAATTGTAGAACCCGTGAAGGAAATGACACATAAAAACACAATGTCCCTCGAAAGCCTTAAGGAAATGGATTAATTTGGAGGCCCAGGCGTAGATAGAAGGATAATCTTTAAATTAGTATAAGGGGAGTAGTTTGTAAGAAGACTGAGCAATTTAGCTGACTCAGGATGTGTTTCACTGTTGGGATTTTGCACGGTAGTGAACATACATTGTGAAAATACATTTTAATTACTTTCTTATGTACTTACGCGTGACAGATAACAGCCTTAATACTGTATTTGGGTTCATTTTCTCTACAGATTATTAAAATTTAATCAAACTTCGTCAAGATCCTTTCAGTAGAAAATTTTATATTTCGCCTTTGTATCCCTAGCAAGTGCACCAATATTTTCTTGAAGATATGGTCAATACAGTTCTATTGGGGGCCATGACATCCATAAATTAACCAAATTCAGCGAAGTCGTTGGAGTCTTCTTCGAGAAAATTTCAATTTGGTGTTTTCGGGTCCCTGTGAAAGTCCCACGTTTTATAGATAGAATGTTGGTATTCATTGTATAAAATCTAATTTAATTTACATGAATTAAATCCATCCAAGCGGTGGGGCACAGGCGAATGAGGACGTAGAGAGTTATCTCCTCAAGTTGGTTATTTAATGACGCTGTCAGCATCGAGAGAGACAGGCGTCAGTCCAGAAATCACTTCTTCGTATTTAGAAGCACTGAAAATATTTAAATGCATTGAAATCTCTACATAGACTATCACAATAATTTTCCATATTACGTAGGCTATATAAGAAAGTAAAATGATTGAAAATTTTGTGTTAATTTTTCAGAACTTATCCTGTACCATTGAAAAAAATAACAGGATTTCAAAGAGTTCTATCCCCTGGGATAGGGCCGTGTAATCAGTTGGAAGTCAGCGGACGTTTCAGAGGAACACGTTGCCTCCATCTTCATGCTCGAATATTAAGCCAAGCTACAAGCCAGAGTGAAAACAGGTGGCAAGCAGAAATCTGCTCTATTCCTCCGAGACGTCGGTTGACATTCAACGGACTGCACGGTGTCCTATTCCAGAAGATAGAACTCTTCATAACCACCGCTGTGATAATCTCAGGTCTTATAACATTATTTCAGTTTTTTCATTCAACTAAGTTCTCGAAAACACAAGAACAACAAGACAGTTGGTAACAATACGATAATAATAATAATAATAATAATAATAATTTCTCAAGGAGTAGGATTATTTGTATGTAATAATCTGGTTGCTTATTCCTATCGGTCTGTAGACCTGCTTAATCTGTAATTGAATACTTTTTCTTTCTGCAGTCAGTAATTTATAATTCAATATTTTGATCACTGCTGGTTTTGTAATTATTCCTTACTCAACATCTTGGTCTCCTTTTGGTTTCCCGACGTGTTTTTGTGGCCTATCTAAGCAGTTGCTATTCAGGCTCCACGGGCTTGGCGACCTTTACAAATCAGTGAAACATATATGTTGCTTTTTTACTGTGCCTTCAAGTCAGTGACCTGTAATGTGAAATTATGTTACAGCAATTCGACTACACGGACCTCTGCCAGGCAGGGCCCCTGCTGAGCGACTCGGCGTTAGCGGCGCAGAGAGCGGCGGCCGGACAGTCCCCAGGGCAGGGCAACGCGGGAGGCAGGTCTCGCCCCTGGCACGATTTCGGTAGACAGAACGACGCTGACAAAATACAGATACCCAAATTGTGAGTATTACATCTGTACATCACCAGCTGTACCCTGCTCCATATATCTTGATATAGCAAAATATTAGTGCAGTATAATAATAAAACAGTTACCACCATCACTGCATTTATTATAATGTTTGGCAGGTTAAATGAATTAATACTAAATTGTAAACAAAATATTACTTCGTCATCACCTTCATGGATTAGGCCATGTTTTGTCTCTTGAAGAGAAAGTTGGACACCCCTATTTTTACTATAGGCGCCCTTGGTACTAACTTTGTCGACAAGCGGCGGTCGCTCTGTCGGTTTAGTTCGCTTGCAGACCAAAGCCAAGGAGTTTGTTTTGTTTGTTTAAGTCTCGTCGTCTTACTGGGCTGTAGGTTAAAATTTCCTTTGGAATCTGCCTATCTTCCATTCATACAACGTGATATTTCCACTATGATCTGGTTGTTAGAATTTCATCACTTGGATTAAAAATATTCAACTCTTCCTTGATTTAGTATTTCATATTTGGTCCTTTCATATGCAGCCTGCTACACTTCTAATGAATTTCATTTCTGCCAAAATGGAGGTTTAGCATCGGGCTGGTAACACAGTTCTGCAAAAGATTGTTATACTTTGATTCTTTGAAAAAAGGATAAACGAACCCATAAAAAATATTGCTCTAATACAAATATTATGTTTCTTGACATCATGCATCGTCTTGTTTTTATTTAGAACACAATGTTTCAGTGACTAGATTCTATCTCCGTCTTCAGGTAAAACCTTATCAATTGGGCCCAATCGATAAAGGTAGCCCTTATCTCCGGACCTTAAAAAATTGGATGGATAATATTCAGAAACATAATATTTATATTAATATACCATAGTTATAAAATTTTAGTTCTTAAAATATTACTCAATTGTATGAAAAGTTACAAGCTGTTCTCAGAAGAACAACTGAAATTACGTAACTTATTGTTTGATTATAACTAGCTAACTAGCTAATGAATTAAAATCTTGCAGCTGAATATTTCTTATTAGTGAAACAAGGTCACGACAGCCTCATTCCATATCCTTTCATCTCATTACTGACTGTCATCCGATCATTCAGTACTAACTCCAAGGAGCTCAACCGCTCTTAGAAAGTCGTCGGTTGTGGAGCTACTCAGGAATTTCTCAGCATTTTATGGAACCCGAAGGTTCATTATCGTGTTCACAAGAGCCTTCCACTGGTTCCTATCCTGAGAGAGATAAATCCTGTCCACATCACCCCATCCTCTCTATCTAAGATCCATTTTAATATTATCCACCCACCTAAGTCTTGGTCTTCCCAGTGGTCCCTTTCCTTCTGGCTTTCCCACCAATATCCTATACGCATTCCTCGCCTACCCCATTCATGCTTAATGCTCTCCCCACCTCATCCTCCCTGACTTGATCATTCTAATTATACTTGGAGTGGAGTACAAGTTATGAAGCTCCTCATTATGCAGTTTTACCCAACCTCCTGTCACGTCATATCTTTTCGGTCGAAATATTCTCCTCAACACCCTGTTCTCGAACACCCTCAGTCTACGTTCCTCCCTTAATATCAGAGACCAAGTTTCACACCCATACAGAACCACAGGCAGAATTATAGTTCTTTATATTCTAATTTTTATGTTTTAGACAGCAGACGAGAAGATAAAAGGTTCTGGACTAAATGGTAGCAAGCATTACCCAAGTTCAATCTCCTCTTAATTTCCTCCTGTATCAAATCATTCCAAAATATCTGAACTTTGTCAACTGTTACCTCTCTTTATTCCATGATTTTCCTCAGGNAGAGATAAATCCTGTCCACATCACCCCATCCTCTCTATCTAAGATCTATTTTAATATTATCCACCCACCTAAGTCTTGGTCTTCCCAGTGGTCCCTTTCCTTCTGGCTTTCCCACCAATATCCTATACGCATTCCTCGCCTACCCCATTCATGCTTAATGCTCTCCCCACCTCATCCTCCCTGACTTGATCATTCTAATTATACTTGGAGTGGAGTACAAGTTATGAAGCTCCTCATTATGCAGTTTTACCCAACCTCCTGTCACGTCATATCTTTTCGGTCCAAATATTCTCCTCAACACCCTGTTCTCGAACACCCTCAGTCTACGTTCCTCCCTTAATATCAGAGACCAAGTTTCACACCCATACAGAACCACAGGCAGAATTATAGTTCTTTATATTCTAATTTTTATGTTTTAGACAGCAGACGAGAAGATAAAAGGTTCTGGACTAAATGGTAGCAAGCATTACCCAAGTTCAATCTCCTCTTAATTTCCTCCTGTATCAAATCATTCCAAAATATCTGAACTTTGTCAACTGTTACCTCTCTTTATTCCATGATTTTCCTCAGGATTGTGGTGACGAGACAGCTACATATATACTTAGTTTTCTCTGTGTTTACATCTAGACCAATCTCCTTACAAGCGTCAATTAAGGTTTGTTTGTTTCTCTTTATGGTATCTATATTATCAGCGAGTAGATTCACATCATCGGCATAGACCAACAACTGATGTGTCCCGTTTAGTTCCAGTCCCACCTCGCTTCCCTGGACCTTCCTAATGGCATACTCTAAAGCAAAGTTGAAAAACTGCGATTATATAACATCTCCATTCTTACACCTTTATGGATAGGAAAATTATCAAATGTTTTCCTATACGGACTTTATCATACGATTTATTTAACATGTTTTTATCAGCCTAACTAGTTCCATGGGTACCCCAAACTCCATCAGAATATTGTACAATACTTCCCTCCTATCTCTCTTAAGGTCTATGATAATTGACAGATGTTACTAAAGAATCAATTNTGGTAGCAAGCATTACCCAAGTTCAATCTCCTCTTAATTTCCTCCCTCTATCAAATCATTCCAAAATATCTGAACTTTGCCAACTGTTACCTCTCTTTATGCCATGATTTTCCTCAGCNTATCAGCCTAATTAGTTTCATAGGTTCCCCAAACTCTATCAGAATATTGTACAACACTTCCGTTCTATCTCTCTTGAAGTCTATGATAATTAACAGATGTTACTAAAGAATCAATTATTCTTAAAAATTTTGACTTGTTGCTTAATAGAAAGAGGTATAGGCCTGAAAAATATTACAATACCAGCCAGTCTAAAAATTTACACTTGATCTAACATCCGTGGACCTATTACAGTTGACGCTATTTATTTGTTTTATTGTGCAAGCCAAACTTGTTATGAAAATCATGTTCTTACACCATGAATTGTCACAGATAAGTGCATCTTGTTTTGAGAAGTGTCGCTTCAGTCAAGGCTTGCGTCATGACACAGACCATACTCAATAGCCAAGTTATCGATCAATTTCATTTACATTCCAGTCTGACTAGAATTTGTGGCTGTGGGTGGCATATATTATGAAAGGAGATTACGGCTGCATATTTTTATGGTGTTATTGTACTTCTCATTGTCATTCAAGGTTTGACGATAATTTGGATTTATTGCCATAGGTAACAATAAGTCACCGTTTTCACGTGACATGAGCCGTGAAACAATGATAATAATAGAGACAGTGATGGTAATACGTAGTTTTAGTACCTTATCTCATTAACAACATCCAAAATAAAGAAATGTACTGCAGACCTATATTTCTGGCCTACGTAGTGTAACTGGTGTGTTTTGGTGCTTTCGAAACCTTGCGATGTGCATATTAGGTTACTCCGCATGTAGAACTCAAAAAGCTCCATACGGACTTTCACAAAATTTGGTACTGGGAGTTCTAATCTAGTGTCGACACATTCCAAATTTCGGTTATAACTGGGCAAAAGTAACGGACAATTTTGCATGAGAGATATATACGTGTTTCTGCGCATGTGTCAAACGTAAATCGCCAAATTTTTGTCAGAGCAAAAGAGTTCAGAAAATTTATAAGGAAAATTAAATATACATTTTAGATAGATATTAATTTTACGCATGTTTTACAATGTTCTAGATAATTTAACGGAGTTTACACAGTACATAATTTTCCAAATGTCCTATCCAACTATCCACAATTACGTACCGAACACACCCGGTGATTACCGATGTTTCTTATTCTCGATCCTTCCACCTGCATTCCTAGATCTACAGGTATATACGAGGGTTGGAACTTTAATAGTGGTAACAATTTATTTACAACTGATACAAAATAAANCAAGTGGTTACGAGCAGCGTCGTATCGTAGCCATTTCTGCATTTCCGTCAAATCATGCGGAACCCATCGTGATGCAATTTTCTCATGCCCAGGCGTTCCTTCAGAATGTGAAGCACAGTCATATGCGCTAATCCTGTCTCTCGGGCTAGCTCACGAATCGTATGGCGTCGAGCACTCTCCTTTAACGCGGAAAGAGCATACACTTCTTCACTGACACCAGGACGACCTGGCCGACGCACGTCTGTCACATTTTGGCGTCCCTCGTTGAAGGCTTTTACTCACCTTGCCACTGTTCTGTAAGGCACTGCAGATTCCCGGCAAGCCTCTTGAAGACCTTGATGACACTGTCGTGCTGTACAGCCTCTGGCACATTCAATCTTTATTCAATTCCGTTGTTCCTGTTTCGAAAACATCGTGACAACATTACATTAGACCGCCAGCTAATACGAGGCTCTGTTTTTCTCGTCACTGCGCATGCGCGTGATGTGGGAAGGGAGAGTCCATTTGCTCTGAGGTAAGGTAGGTATGTAACAAACGTGTGGTATAAGCAATAGTATTTAGTTCCGTTGCATGGCGTCTCTACAGCAATGTTGCCATTATTAAAGTTCCAACCCTCATATATATATTTAATTAGAGCAGAAATAGCGGCCGTGGGTATCCGTTGCGCTGACCACGCGACATCCTCTATCCGCAATAGTTGGCACTAACTTCGCCGACAAGCGGCTTTCGCTTGGTTGGTATATTTCGCTTGCGGTCTAAAATCTTGGATTTAGTTCTAATATATCGTGTTGTGGATGTATTTTTATTCTCAAACCATTCCGCTCTTCATGAAATCAAATACTTCAG